GAGAGAGAGAGAGAGAGAGAGAGAGAGAGAGAGAGAGAGAGAGAGAGAGAGTTGGTCGCAGTAAGGAGGGCACTCTCGCAGCGTCAGCTTGCCGGCGGGACCTTGTGTCTGTAGACTGCATTGCATGCCTATCTGCTCGACAAAACCCCTGTAGATCGCAGGGTAGGCCGTCCCACACGACACTTAAAATGGGATGGTGGCCTATCCAGTAGGCGCTCTCCTCATTACAAAGCACAAATTCTTTCTTTCTTGTCGTTTTATTCAGTCCGTTTCACATCTCTTTGACTAAACAGATTTACTGCAGCTAGTACAGACCGCTTTTGTGTGATAGCACTTTTATTTGTTTTATTTTCAACCCTTCCGTTTCTCCGGCCGGGTGCCTTGAGCCGGACGGCCGGCGCAGTGCACCCAGTCGGAGAGCGGGACGCCCGCCACCGCCCAGTGTAACCCGCCGCTCTCTTGTCCAGGCCGTGCGTTTCCTGCAGCAGGAGCAGCAGCGACAGCAGCAGCAGCAGCAGCAGCCCAAGGGGGCCGTGGCCGAGACCTCCGTCAACGGCCGGCCGGACGAGGAGCCCTCGCCGCCCGCACCTCAGCACCTCATCGTCCCGGGCAAGGACATCAACAAGCTGTGCGGCCTCTCCTCCTCGGACATCGACAAGTACTCGCGCATCATCTTCCCCGTGTGCTTCGTGTGCTTCAACCTCATGTACTGGATCATCTACCTGCACATCAGCGACGTCGTCGCCGACGACTTGGTGCTGCTGCAGGAGGACAAGTAGTCACTGTGTGTCAATTCGCGCGAATTTGTGTTGTGTTGTTGTAGTCTGTTTATAATATGGCAGCACAGCATGACGGGACCCATAAATGAGACAAAGTCCTGACCAAAATGTTAAAAAACAAACAAAAAAAAAAACAAGAGAGAAGCGCATTTTTAGAGCAATAATGTATGAAAGCGTGGGAGCTGCAAACTGCAAACTAGATGCAGTGAAGCTGGGGGCGCCAGCCACATATCTGTGATCTATGGAAGTTAGAACCTTTCAAACAAACAAAACCAAAAAATGGCCAAAACGCGTTAGCCCAAATGGGTGGCAAATTCTGTAGCCAAATGTTAAAGCAGTTGTATGTTCATTTTTTTCCGTGTTAGTATAACCCACGGGCTGGTGCTCTACTTGCGCGAGCTGTCAAAAATTGGAGCTGCGCATATTTACTCGAGGGCCATGACCAAATCTATTCGCTGATTGAATGTTTTACGGACTTTGTTTAAATCTAGGATTCCCTTTTTCGTTCGATTAATTGTATGTACACTCAGATGGACATGGGGCCCTAATCTACGCGTGTCACACTTTGCGGATACTAAACTTACGAAACATAGGTAGAATGTGAAATCGTGACCGGTAAAAGGGAAAATTAAATTTCTTTCAACACATTAAAATAGCCGCCATAAGTAGCCAAATGGAATGCAATTTATAGGTCTGGTGGCAATTTTTCCGGCTTTACCAGGTTCTGGCATAGAACGCTCAGGGGTTTCAAACAACTAGGGTTGAAAAAACTCATGTATATAGAAAGAGAAAGGCTCCAAGTCCAACCGCTGTGTCTCCAGTGTAATCGTGGTACGACTTCGCAATCAAGTGCAACACACCCCTTCTAGCCCTCTCCCTCGCCCTCGCAGGTAGAGCCCAACCCTCGCGGGTGTCCCCGGTCTGCCGGGGCCCCTCTGTCTTCCCATTCGGTCTGTGGGAAAAAAGGAAAGGAGCCACATTTCCCCCCTCCCCCACACACATACCGACTGATAGTGTTTAATTTCTCAATGGACGAACTACGAGTAATAGCAAACCATGCAGCGACGAAATTTTTTCATTAGTCAAAGGTCAAAATCGCGTGCAAAAAGGAAAAAAAATGATTGGTGCTGCTACACGCCTGGTTGTGACAAAAGCTGCCCTTATATTCATATAGAAGCAGCACTCACAGTTCGCACCGCCAACCTCGGAGCGTTCCGACCAGACCAGATACGTTTGATCTGAACGCCTCGACCTCCCACCGCGCCCTCTGGAGTTGACCCTCCCCGCCCCGCCCTCCTCTCCGGGCTGGGGCGAGCGGCTGCCTCCGCAACTCGCCCCAAGCCCCTTCCCTCCCCTCCCACCTCGAGAGGGCGCGTTCGCGGGCGAACCAGGGGAGAGGATCACGAACGCTCAAGATTAAGCTCAATGTAAAATGTTTCTGTGCGACAAGTGCTGCCTCTCCCCTAGTAAGCACACACATTAAGTACTGTATGTATATATTTTTCACCTCTAGAAGAATCAAAAATGGAGAGTTTTAAGAGTTTTAAAAAATGCAGATGGGCGGTTTATAATTTGTTTACGAGGGCTTCGACGACACCAGTCTTTTAAAGTCTGTATCCTGTGAGTTTGTGTGTGTGCGTGCGCGACTGGAATGGTAGTAGGTCTCAAATGTAGTAGTATGTATCGGGCGGTAGTGACCGCCATGCTCGAGCGCGATCAATGTTAATATAATAATAATAATATTAATACTAATAATGATAACAAGCAAAGCATGATTAGAATATATACCGTGTTTCGCTGCCACTGCCAGCCGCGCTCTGACCCTCAGGCTCAGGCCGGCCGGTGTGTGTGTGTGTGCGACAATGTCGCCCGGCCTGCGGCGGATCACTGCCTTAACTTCGGCCGCCGTGGGACCCAGGCGAACAGGCGTGCCAATCGATTGACCGGCCGGAAGTAATCGAACCATCTGAAATGAGGGTCAGAGTGGGCGCGCAGAGGTGCCCCGCGGCTGCACGCGGCTGTTCACACCTATAAACGCCTGCGGGCCGCGGGGGCTGACACGCCCCCGCTGGTGTCATGTGCACACGGCTCAATACTTTCGTCTCATTGCAATATATTTCTTATAATACACACCCACACAAAACACTACTATGTACTATAAAGTAACTTATGACACATATTTTATACACATCAAACCTATTATTCAGCGTCGTTGTTAAGAGAAACAAAAAAGATACTTTTACTGAGAGTAGCTGCAGATTTTAAGAGATAAAAATTAAAACTGTACGATTAAGGATCGTGGTATTGGTCATTTCGTTGTGATAAAATGTAACAGCTGCAGCTGGTCAGGTGGACTGTTATGTACGGGCCACGTTAGTCTCGCGAGTCCTGCAGGGCTTCCCAGTCAGCTGCAGTTGTGGAAGAAAATATTATGGTTTTATACGGCGGTGTACATGACTCTGTAGATAGCGGCACACTTTGCAAAGCACGTAGCCCCTTGGCCACTTCGTATCTTTTCGTAGCCGGGGCCCACTGAAGCTGAAACGTCCATGGTAGAAAGCATCTTAGCGAACCGGCCTCCCGCCCGCCTTGGCTCTCCCCGGCACTACCCTCACCCCCCCCCCTTTTCCCCGAAAAAAGAACAACTTTTTTCACCCAAATCTTTCTTTTATCTCTCAAAGCAGATCACTCTGCAATACCTGCCCGAACTTTAAAGTGTAGTTCCCTAGGAAGTAATGAAAGGCCTAGTGTGTCTAGATAGCTCGTGCCAAAGTAACAGGGCTGCCCCCTCCCCTCTCTTTCCCCGTCTCCCCTGAGTCCCCGGTACGATAGACCTGCCGCGGTCACAGTCTCCTTCACTTCCCAACAAACTGGCTGTGATATGAAGCAAGGCCCCGGCGCCACGCCGCGCCACGCTCGGCCCCCCCTGAGTGCCGGGGGGCGCCCCCCCGCGCGGGGCAGTTCGTTATTCTAAAGACTCGCAACCCCGTACTGGGGCCCCTGCGGGCACTCCCCCTGCCGGCCGAAAGGCAGGTCGTGCTGGTCGCCCGGGTCGCGTCCCGCACGGCCGCCGAGACAGGTCGCCACTAGCCTGCAACTCATCGAAAATTTATTACCTGTTTATGTAAATGTTTTTCTTCTTTTTTTTAATTCCGTTTAATTTTTGAAAAAAAAAAAAAAGACCGCAATGTTGAAAAAGGGATGTCGTGGTCAGATTCGGACCAAGATGTCAGTGCAAAACTGGCTTTTGCGAGGCATCATGTGGCAACCTCTCTTAGGCCGGCAACCCTTTCCAAAGGGAAGCCCAGTTCCGCGCGAGGGTGGCGGCACGAAGGCCGATTTGTCGTGTCGATTTGTCATGTTGATATATCGACTTAGTATTTATTTATTCTTGTAGAAACTACCTTCCTCCTTCGAGTGCATGCGAGCAGCGGACATACATGTGACGCGTCGCTCCGTAACGTTCTTGTCGGTTGTATTGCTCAAACGAAACTTTTAAAAAGGAAATAATGGTTCAGGTAATGATTATTTAAATGCAAAGAGTTGTGATGTAGAGTGACTATGTGATTAAAACAAACTGTAAATTATTTGCGATAACTGACTCTACATGAAAACCACAAAATTTGTGCATTTATATGGTAACATAAAATATGGAAGGCCCATGTCATGTAGTATTGGGGTGTAAGCAATACTGAGATGCCGCTGCCTCCACTCTATTCTGTTAAATTTAAAATGTTTAGGCCGGTATATCAGAACCATAGACTTAAAAATTCCCCATTCGACTTCTGTTTTTTTTTAACAATGTTCAATCAATAAGTCGTTTCTAACTGGCATGCAATTATCTGAGAACAGGTATACAGAGTACGCTTTCCTATTGGCCACCTTTCTGCCAAGTACTGACCTAAAATAAATCTGTCACTTTACCTGGTCTCTATAGATCTGGTTAAAGCTCTGTGAGTAGAGGCAGTGTAGATGTACTTCTTGCCTTATTTGTGTGTTAAATCTGGCTCTCACTGCTCACTGGAAGAGGAAAAACTATATTCTTAAGGCCCAATGGACTTGCATTAACTCATTTGTAAATACAAAAGCCCCTGCATTTGAAACCAAAACTGTACCAATTTTCAGATCTTCATTAACTATACAAAAATAATTTTCATATGATATCTTCTGATGCAAAGTGAACAACTAACAGTCATTAATATTAGATTTTTTTTTTTTTTTAACAGCAAAAGTCTGAAGAGAAATAGAAATTTATTTCTTCTTTCTTCAACGAGGCAGCGGTATGCACAATGTACATAGTCAAGTATTGCAGTGGTACATAAGTAATCTGAAGAATACAGTACGTACAAGAATGTGTAGCTAGAAACTACTACTTTGTGTAACAGATTCTATAAATTATGAGAATGAGATGGAGCGCTTAGTGGTGCTCACTAAACGGTTATTCTAAAGAGATATGGAATGTAAACCAATGTATATACACATATATATATTGATATAAGGATTTATATATGTGTATATATGTACACACACATATATTATATATATGTATATGATGAATTAGAAGATTCGGATAATATTTGAGTTGTTTTTATTTCAATAAATGCTATCAAGGGCATCTTATTTGGTCTTTACTTTTAATGGTCCTAAACAAAGGCGAACACGTTCCACACACTGACGTAAGCAGCACCCAGAGAAAAGCATGACAACCCTGGGAAAAAAGTAAGTGGCAAAGTGCAACTGAAGTGGCAATGAAATGTCACTTGGTTGCCCCCTTGCTTATGCAAGGTGGCGTTTAAGTGGATTTTGACATTTTAAGTGGCAAGGAGGTAAAGCGCCAAGGAGGAGGCAAAGTGGCACCCAAGTAGCATCAGTCCCCAAATTTTCGGAGTTACGTCTTGTTGTACCGAGGTCCCTCATGCCCATGGGAGTCTTCTATTCAAAAATTCGAGGGGAGGGGGGAGGGGCGGCTGACCGGCCAACCCGCATTCTACGCCCTTTTTTTCTGTATTTGTAAATGGGAAGCACCCTCCACCCCTGGTCAGCCAGCTAGGGCCCTTCAGGGTTAGAACGGGTTAGTAGCTGATAGCTTGTTAATTGAATTAATACGGAGCACCAAACGGGTGCGAAGGAGGAAATGCGGTGCCTGCCCTGGCCGACGCAGTATTGTTGGGTAGGGGAAGGGGCCTGGAGCGCGACACTCGGACAGCCCCTCACTGATTCCCCCAGCGCCAACTAAATTGTTTTCTGGTCTCCGCTTGGTTCTCTGTCCTTATCGAGAGTAAAAGCAAGCTGACGCTGACACCTTAAAGTTACTTATATATTCTTTATGTATCGTCAAAAGGTTTTTAAGGTATCATCTGCTAAAAACTGGACCAGCGGTAATCACATGACAGGCCCACCTCCAGGGGGCTGTCAAACTAAGATACGGTTAGGCCGACCAACCTTCAACCCCGGAACGACTGAAATTTCGAGTGAGGCAGTTTTCTCGCACGCTGAGTCCAAATCTGGTCGTGCCGAGGTCGTCCGTCCCGGCGGCCAGAGTCAGCTTCATCCGACCCGACCATAGCACATCCTATTTCGGGTAATATGAAATTCGAAGGCTTCAGGGTGTAAGCAGAATCCCTGACACGCCGAAAGGTCCTGGACGCATCTAAACTAACACAATTCCCCCCCCCCCCTTCCGAAAAAAATGGCCTTAGGGATAGCTTTGATTGCCTACCCTCCAGGCGCCCTCACATACAACTTGCCCCGGCGTTCCCCACGCAGTACGCACGGGTCCGAGGCAGCTTTTATCAGAACCGATTGTAGAAATAAGTCCGCTCGGCGTCGTAAATGCTCACGCCCCAATTCCCCTACCCGAACAAAAAAAAAGAAAATGGGGGGGGGGGGGTACTTTCCGCTTCCCACCGCAGGACTACTTCTGAGTTCGTAAAGGGATCAGCCGAACCACAGTGGTCACAACATACTCTCGGGGTTTGTGAGACGGTTGACGCGTACGTTGGTTAAACTTTGCTGACAGGTCATGGAGCTCCTTTAAAGCCAGGTTCTATGTCTTCTATGCCTGGTTATTAGTGCACCCGCCACCACAGCAGGCACCAGGGAACTCGCAAGGCCCGCTTTCGCCGTGAGTCGAACCCCAGCCCAGAGCCAAGTCATGTGCCACCTTGGCTTGGCCGCAGTGCAACCAAAGGACGGTAACCACTACGCCGTCGGAACTCCACGAGGTGAAATGACGAAAAAAGGTGAAAAATGCAAAAGGCCTTCAGAGCAACATACCAGGTGGCTGATTAACCCCACACACTTTTGTACTATGCAACCCACCCGCACGGCTCCATCCGGGACTGCATACCCACCAGGCGCTGGGGACCGGCTCCAAGAAGCTCCAGCGCGTCGCTCCGCCACTGTTGTTGCAGCCACCGCCCTGGGGCGTTGCAAAGGGGTTGTTCGTGGTTTTCTGAAGGTTCCCGCGAGTCTGCGGGGGTCTGGGTTACCCGGGTACGTACGGGTCGGGTTTTTAAGAGCCTTACTCCAAACGTCGTCGTCGTGTACCCGGACTGGTGCACTTTTCTTAAAAGTATCAAAATATAATTATCATTAAGCAAATCCACCATAATAGTTTTTATCCTGATCATATCATATTGTTACAGCTACAGCACTTCCCTGGCGTTGCCCCCTGCAGCCACGGGGCGGAAGGCAGGCATCCCCAAAGGATCACACCCCGGACAAGCGTGGCGGGATTGCCTACCCCAGGGCCTCGGCCACAGCTCTTCTCTGAGGTTCCCCATAGAGCTGAGGCCACATGTTGCATGGATCGGGAGCGCAAAAGAATCACATCCCGTGACCACGATATGTCGGTGAGTGTCGTTGTCTGATCAGAATTAACTTCTGCCGTAATTATTGTTCTCCCCCTTTGCCGTACCGCGTCTCCTACCCCTCTCCTCCCCCCACCTCGCATTTCCCGCGCCTTTATGGAAACGTAAACAAACAGTGAAAATCTGTGTCACGACCGGCGTGTCTTCTGCTCAATACCGATAATACCTACTCATTTAATTGATGATCATAGGATTTTAATCAGAATTTTAGGGTAGATATCGCTGCTTTTCGATATTAATCGCAAGGTATAGTGCTTCATTGCTTCTGGTCCGGAATATTGAATGGTTTCATTCCGGTTATTGTTGTAGGAGGATAGTCGTTCTGACGAAAGAACAACACAGTTGCCCATAAGAATACCACGCGTTGCCGTGCTGTTCTTCCGTCAGGGGGTCTATAGTGTGCTCCTGTGGCTTCATTTTTACACTCACAAGTCGTAAGTTATTTTTTGAGGCCGAGTAAATGGTGCCCGTGATGTAAACTTGGCTCACTGTCAGACTGTCAGCTTTGTTGAAAAGGTTTTAAATGGTTACACTCCTCGATTCCATGCAGTATGTTAAACACTGTTGTAGGTCATTTGCAAATGGGTACTGTCAGTGTTTTATCATATATCATATATTTTACTCTACATTATTCTCGTGGAACAGAAAACTTTATTACTTTCTGGTTGGGGTGCAAAACGAATGGTATTTGCGTAATCCGCCAAACAATCAATCAATGTGCGTTGCAGCTAATTTTCAGCTGCCCCTTCATACATTCATGCTTGAGTTCAGTGCTAAATTAGTTATTTGAAAGACCATGGTCATTTAGAGAGGTATGCACACCCGGCCGCGCTCGTGATCTGCCCCCGCCTTTTCGGCCCACCGCGGGGTCGACGACTGGTGTCCTACGTCCAGGGATGACACGGGTTGCCCCCCCCCCCCCCTCGTGGTTCATGGCCCTAGTTCGTGGTTGACGCGGTTACGACTTTAGGATCGTCCACAAAATATGCCCGTTTTTCCCAGATTCATTCAGCAAATCACAGACGGTCGGCGCCTGCGATACTCAGGGTAGGCCACCCCGCAGTGCAGACATGTACTGCAGGCATGATGTTGCCTACTCATTAGGCGCTAAGGGGTTGCATAGGCTATACTTGGAATGTTAGTAACGGACGGCGAATGACGGACGTACTATCTGGATGATCCCTTACCAGACCAGCCGAGCCTCCGCGGCGCAGCCTGTGAGGTAGGCAGCCGCGCGTGTGCACACGGACGTGCACTGAGTGTTGCCTGACTGGAGTACGACAGGCGCGCTAACGCCGCGGATGCTATGTTCTGGTCAACAAAAGTTGGTGAGTGTACCCGAGGAAATTTTACACATAATTTACTTCCAAAACTGCCTGAGTCTGTAAAATTACAAGTCTGCGGTGAAAAATGACGGTCTATCAAGCGAGTTTACCACAACACGACCGTAAAATCACAAAATCTCAGGGAATATTAAAGATAGGTGCTTACAAAAATTCAAACACTTGTAAAATTACCATTCTCCGGTGGAACATGACAGGTTTTTCATGCAAATTTACCCGAGCAAAACAGTAAAATTACACAGATTTTGGGATTATTACAGAAGTGCGCTATGAAAAGTACCAATACTTGTAAAATTACAACACTTTACTAGTAATAATACAGAATTTCGTAAAATTTACAATAAAATGTCTGTAAAATTACCAGAATTGTAAATTTACAACAACAAGTGTATTAAAATGTCATGGCTTGTAAATTAACATTAATCTCCTGTAAATTTTTACAAATTTTTTATGTAAAATCACTAATATTTTTTTACAGTGGGGGGGGAGGCATTCAAAAGTGTATTGTATGAGTATATTATATGTAATTAATAGTTGATTAGCGCTAAAAGTACCGTTTAATATGATTGCAGGGATACGGCCCGGAAATGTTCTTGACACGACCAAAGAAGTCTCTGGAGTCATTTCTTCTAGAATAGGTAAGATGGCCTGACAAGTAACCAACGCTAGTCCAAGTCTCTGTACAGACTCTATGAGAGGCTTCCTTTGGTGTGCATCAAAGGCCAGTTTCTGGTAGTTTTTATGGTGCCTTGGTTCTTCCCTGGTGATTTCAATCCTTCCCCGTCAAAATCCAGACTTCATATTTGTTATCATGAAAAATGTCTTTTAATCTTGAAAATTTGGTAAATAACTGGAATTGGTTTGGGTTGGTCGAGCAGACTCGAGCAGACTCCCCTTTCACTTGCTCTGTCTAAACAACGTGGTTCCGACCCACTACAGCAGAGTTTTTAGATATTGCGCCTCAGGGTAGGCAATCCACCTATAATTTCGAGAGACCAGCTCTTAAAACTCAAGTTTCTGTGACCAGGGGTGGTTTCTGACAGAACCAAAGGTAGTTTTGTGGTCTCTGGTTCACCCCTGTCGATTCGAATACTCCTCCGTCGAAATCGGGACCCACCAATTTATAGCATTTGTAAATTTTGCCAAATATGAAAAGTTTGGAAATGGTTGGGACTGGTCCGCCAGCACCCCCTTTCAATCTCTCCGTCGAAATTTCGCGCCGCCGGTCCATTTCAGGTGAGTTACGACTGTTTTTCTTGGACCGGTTCGCCTACGAGGTAGGCAGCTCATCGTACGCTGCCCGCCAGATTCAAAAGGCCATCTCTTAAAACGCAAGTTTCTGTCGACAGGGGGGTGGTTTCAGACGGATACGCGGTGAAGAAACAGCGCCCTGGTTTAAAGTGTG